TTCTGTGGGCTGTCCTTATGAGCCACTTAAAGTCTTCTGTGGTGCGCCAGCATCAATGACTCATAACATACCATTTTTCTTCTCTGGGAGGACAACTCCATTGCTTCCTGGGGATTTTGTTCCTAACCAGTGAAATGGCCCATACAACTGGCAGCATAAAATGCATTAACAACAGGTTCCATAATGTTTAATGGGGATACTAAAAGGTAGCCCCAGAGTTATGCCTCTTCACATGTAAATCTAATTTTCTGACCAACCACCTTCATGGTTTTAATTTACTTCATCCTGTACATGCTATCAGCAGCAGTCAGTCTGGTAGCAAGCTATAGGTTTTTCCCCTAAAAAAATCCACACAGAGATTACATACAGGACTGGGACAAACTAACCTGATGCAAAGGACATTCAAAACAACAAAAAAATGAGTCTGCACATAAAAGTTTTAAAGGATGCAACTGATTCCTGCAAATAAACTGTATCAGTCAGACCATTGTTCTGGTTTGCTGGACTAACAGAGTGAGATAAAAACTCAAGTGGTAGATACCACATTTTTGGCCTAGAATGTACTTGGACTAAATTCCAAGACTAAAGTACAGTGTCAAAGGCAGGAGCTTATCCAGTAACAGGCTGATTTGTTCTTCTGGAAAGACATTGCTTTTACCAGTGAACCAGAAGGACATCTTTTCTCAGAAAACACTGCTGTGAACTCCAGAGACATTGTGTTATATCCAGTGTTCATCCCTCTGACATGTTGGACAAAAATACTCCATCCAGAATAATAAGGTAATTGTCTGCAATTTAGAATATTAAGCAATCTGGTCTTAAAAGCTATCAGACAGTTCTTGGGAGAACTTAGCCCCTATTACAGGCAAACATGGTGTGTGTTTTAGTGGTGCAGGTAGCACTAGAACTGTCCCCTCTCAAAGAAGAGATAACATTATGCCCAATACAAAATTGGCATCAATCTACTGAGACAAGTATTTGGAGAAGAATCATGCTGGTCCTCCATTATGTGTTCCAGACATTTTTCATTCCCTCCCAGATAAAATGCCCTGCTGATCTAATGGTAGAATTTGGCTCTCAAAGCTAGAAAGCTCCAACTGTAGCCAAAATAATATCCTAAAATAGAAAGAAAAATGAGAAAGCAGAAATGTTATTTTCCTCTTTCAAAAGTTTCAGCAGGAAGCTAGCAGTGAGAAACCACTAAAATGGCTCTCTCCCAGCTACCTCTCCCAGTCTGGACATTGCTTGAAACACTCAAAAAATCCCTCATCCTAAGGTCCAAAGGCACCTTGGTTTCATGCCTGTGTCTCTGGTATCACTGGAAACCACCTTAAGTTAATTGAGATCAGGATTTGGTCTTTCTTGTGTGAATCAGTTCTAGGGAAGCTGACAGCTACAAATCCCTGTGTTTTTGTTCTGATGAAAACAGCCTGAAGATCTAAATTTAACATTTGGTTTCACAATGCTCATTTTTGACTGTAAGTAAAATCACCCTGGAAAAATAGCTTAGAATAGGAAGAGATATGTTTTCCGGATGCTGGAAAAGCAAATAAAAAAAAAAAAACCACACTCACACATGACAAATTTATCCTCATTCACAATTTAGATTGCTTTTTACTTTCTGCTTGGTATCTTTGGATAAATACTGTGAATAAAAATTGCATTAGTTACAGAAGAGATTCATAATTTCTGACCCCATTTCAGAGGAAGATGTAGCAGATATCTGTGGTGTTCAGGTCACAGGAAACAGCGCCTGCAGATCAAATCTGTGTTGTGAATGGTTTTTTTCACATGAGAAAACCAGGCAGAATATTTTCCAAGATGAAAAAGATTCTTCTTCATCCACACATTTATTCTGATTAATTTCTTGTTGTAGACAAATTATCCCTTTCATTTACCCTACGGTCACATTACTACACTTTAGCAATATAAAGAGACCATGGAGTGGATGTAAATATAATTTATAGTTGAAGAATGGCATAAATCACCTGCACATTATGAGCCAATCTAGCGTAAATAAGACTGGGGCCTCTACAATGAAAATCTGCTCCCAAGAGTGACAAATGGCATTTTCTACTCAGCTTTTTGTATTTGAAACAATGTCTGCTTCCAAATAAGCCTGGATGGATTCCAGAGGATGACCTGATCCTGCTCCTCCTAGTGCATTGTCAGCAGCTCACCAGGCTCTAGCCATGCAAATTCATGGAAGATGTTCATATGCCCTTGGAAACATGATTTTTATTTGGGAACATCCTGCACCTTGGATGCCAGCAGCATTTTTTCAGTCTAGCAACTAGGGAAAAAGGCATTGCACCTATAAACTGAGAGCAGCAGAGACCTTGAGCTACTTGAGAAATTACACACAGGCTTTCATAATACGGTGCCACAGCCCCCCCAAAACAGGAGACGTGGAGAGTGGACCCTCTGTGGCTCAGGGCCTGCCTTTGGCCATGTCCTAATGATCTAGGGGGGAACAAGTGTCCCCTCTGCCTGTGCAGGTTCACATCTGCATGGACACCTTTGAGGACCTGGTTGGGACGTGGGTGCCAAGGGCACAGGTATGGTCCAGGCTGCTGTCCTGGGCTGAGTCCTGGGCCTCCCCTGTCCTGGGTTTTTCGGGGTGTCTCCCAGGCTGGTAGAAGCTCGAGCATGAGTCATCCTCATCTTGCAATTCCTTGGAAGCAGTTGTCCCAAAACCATCTGCCCACAGATGGGGAGTGACACCACCTGTCCGCCACCTCTGTGAGCACCTTCTCTACTAGACGAGCTCCTCCTGCATTCCCCAGGAGAGCTGCTGCTGGCACTGGGACACGAGGTGCCTTGGCAGGCAGCTGGGTGCGGCCGGACGAGCCGCGCTCACAGCAGAGGAATGCGAGGCGCCTCCCTGGGCTGCGAGGCTGCCGTGGGCAGCTCAGCCCTGCTGCTGCACAGCCTGCCCCGCATTGCTCTGCCTGCATGTGACAGGTGAGCAGGCAGTGCGGCACGAGGCAGCTCTCTGCCATTGGTGTGGCTCAGGAGCAGCGAGGGGCTGGTGCCAGGCAGGAAGTCTAGATGAACAGCCCAGCGGTCAGGTCTTTGTAGCAGTCCCACCAGCTGTCCCACCCCCTGTTGCTCTGCTCTGACCTGCCCTCTTACATCACATTTCTGCTCTAGTTAAGTGTTTGGTATTCAAGATAAATACAGGAATAAAAATAACTTTTTTGCATTGCTTTTTTACCACAATTGTGCCAATCACTTGGACCTTTAGTTCAGAGCAGACTGCAGCTTGTCTGGTCAGTCTCGTGGCTGCCTCCTAATCTTGCCTGGCTCAATCCTGGCCCTGCTCTTTGGGCTTCACTCTGCTTTAGAAAGACCTAAAAAGAGAAGGTCTTTCTCTGTTGGGCCTTGGCTCTTTCCTTGGAGGACAAATTCTTCCCACACTTAGGACTTGGTACCTGCCTTGGAGAACCCACAGGCTCAGGTTGGAGCTCCAGCCACTGGCAGCCCCAGTCTGCCAAGGGCTGTGGATTTACAGGGCCAGGAAGTCTGGAGACACCCAGCAGTGGACCTGTTGTCTTGGGTATTTCTCAGGCCATGTTGTTTACTCCTTGTGCTAGAGGTACAGTTTGATTCCTCTGAACAATCTGTAGTGAGGCTGTTAATGAAAAATTTAAAATATAATATGCCATGAGTGACTCCTTACAGTACAAGAATTGCTTGTGATGACAAAGGCCAGCTCATCAGCAGAAGTAATCAGTGCAGCATCAGTTTAGCATCAATGAGGCTTTGTTGATTTGCAGATGCAGAGGATTTGGCCTCAGTGCCTGGTCTATATTATTTTACAGCAGATAATGAATGCAGCATGCCGTGCTTGCTTTTCTTACCCTTCTCGGAAATTGCAGTTTTACTGACCTGAAAGTATTTTCCCACTATTAAACTTTCAGTCAGTCCTTTTTAAGATGCTGAAGACCACAGGATGCCCTCTCCTTGTGTGGGAACAGCTCTGCTGTACCAAGAGGAGGTGTGATCTTACAGGATAGAGATTCCTTGTGGCACTGACTCATACACTGTAAATTTGTGCTCATTTTCACATCTTCCTCCTGATCCTGTTTTAGGCTGCGTTTCCATTACTCCTCCACCCTGGGGGAGGAATCCTCAGCCAACACAGCTCTAACCCGGAAACCACAGGGGATGAAAAGACCTTTCATAGCAATAATGATGCCATGTTCCTTTCTGCAGCTGCATTTTGAAAACAAAAGATCAGGGGGCAAAGTCACCACCCACAAACAGAATTTGCAGCTCTGCAGCCATCGGGGACTGGTGCAAATGGGCCTGATGCAGATGCCAGAGAACATACTTCCTATTGACACCAGGGAACAACAAGAACTGAAAGTATAACCTAATCTAGGCTGACAACAATGTCTACTTCTGCATATTTACCAGGGATAGCCTTGGGCCATGAGCTGAGGCTTAACTTTGCCTACGCCATAATTTATGTTTCATATTTTTGTAATCAGCAGTTTGGGTCAATCTATTGTAAAGACCACGTAATGTCTGCAAAATAAGGTGGTGGATGCCCTTCCAGTTTGATGCCCCTTAGTAGATACCTATGCCTGCAGTAGATACCCATGCCTGTGCACATTCCAGCTCCAGTGTCCTTGAAAGATTTCCCATAAAACAGATAGGAAGACACTTGGAAGTACCTCCAGTAGTTTGGTGAGTCTGTAGTTCAACACGAAGTGTAGAAGTACAGGTTGAAGGCTGTGGATTATCACTTCTTTCTACTACAGCATATTGCTAGGCCAGGTTTATCTGAGTGCTCAGGGCTGAAGCACTCCTTGGGACTTGCCTTTCCAGCACAGATAGCACTTTTGAACTGGCAAAGGGTAGGTGATTGACATCAGACAGAAGGCCTGATTTCATCAAGGCTTTGGCATGCCACTTGCTGGAAAATGTATTCCAATAAGTACCACCCAGAGTTAATAAATGTGGCACCGAAAGGTGAACAAAGTTCCTGCCAAGGAACTGCCACTCTGGACTGTTTTGGTCTCTGCTCCTACAGGCAGGCCTGATGTTAGTCATCAATGGGAAAAGGTCAGTGGCACTAGGGAGGGTCTGGCTGCACCTTTTGAAAGCCCTGGGCACATGACAGCAGTGTAATCTTGTAAGCTTAGTATGTTAAAATACAGCTCTTCCTGCTCTTGGGCAGCCTTCATAACATGAATTGGAGCTAAATGATGACTGTAGTATTTTGTGGTTACTTTACATGCCAGTGCTCTCACGAGGGGTGGAATGGTGGAGAACCCAGCTCAGTGTCCATATGAGACACTGAAATGCCTATGGGAAGTCTTTCTGAGCTTCCCCAGAGACTGTTTCAAACCTTGTGCTAATTGTTTTCTTCTTGACTGCTCCGAGTTCACTCCCATTGCTGCCAGGGCTTGATAATCTCTGGATCACAGTTCTCTGCTTGGATTTCTGTCACAGTCTCTGTGTGACCTGTCCTCTGCTGGGCAGAAACTTGCAGGGTCACATGAGGTGCCTCTGCTGGGCTGGAAATGGGAATTGGTTATTTCTTCTGAGTTGAGCAGGCCCCTAAAATACAAACCTCATTTCAAATAGCATTTGACACAGCTGAGTGCATTTGTCTTCTCCAACATGCAAACTAGAGACCAGCTATTTTCTGCTCAGCATGGAAAGGAAACCGGAGAACTGAGACAGCAACACCCACGTCTGTGAAGGTATTTAAGCACTTGCTGGGATCCATGCATCGTGGCCAAGCTGTTTGTTGGTAGCAAGACATAGTCTGGGCAGCAGGTGCCCAAATCATGTTTTTCCAAAGTCCTGAGGTACAGTCTTTATCACTGGGTCGGGTTTCTCCCAAGTTCCTTGCAGGACCAATTATAGGAAAGGGCTGATGCTTCATGTGCAGGTTCCTCTGTTTATTTTCCATGGTGCCCCATCCCTGCAGACACTTTTCCACCCCTCTTGTGCAGGCGCCTCGGCAGAGGTTGCTCTCAGCACCCTGCAACACTCGTTCCTTGTGGATGCCGCAGAGGAACCACCTGTTACTCTAAATCTGGCAGTGTTTCCTCATCTTCCCTGCATCCCCCTTTCAACTTCTGTAACTACATCTGTGTGACCTGTTTTCTCCTGCTATGTAGAAACTTGGGCAGTCACATGGGGATATGTGGGGTCACTCGTACTCCCCTGACCCTGTAAATTTAGAAGGGTTAGTTTATTTCCAGAAAGTATGGTTTACATATGGTTTTCCTTTCATTATTTTGGATGTCAAATAGAAGGGCTCTGCTTGTTCCCTACAGTAACAGCAAGTAAATAGCCGACCTGTTTAGAAAAACTTAACACTAGAGACCTGGAGAAATCTTTGGATGCAAGATGCATGCTGAACTATGTGTGACCCTCTGTAGAGAAACATTAGCTTAATATATTAGTAAATGTTTTTTAGTGAAGATAAAAGAATATTAGAGAAAATATACAAGACTTGAGGTCCAAGTTCCCTGTGCAGTCCATTTCCCATTGAAATCAAATGGCCAAAATGAAAAGGTCAGCAAAAGTTTGCTTGAGTTCTGACTGAGGAAAACAAGGAAAGCTCTTTGCTTGCTCCAGGCAGTGCTGTTACCAAGAGGATCTGGTCACAAAGACCAAGGCCAGAGTTTTCAAAGGCAGTTGCTTGATTTGCTAGCCCTGCTTGAAGCACACTGACTAGAGCTGCTTTTGGGAAGTTGTGAAAAACAGGGAGATCCAGGGACCCTCATGCTAGTCCTGGGAGACTCAGCCAATGCTACAAGGCTGCTTTGAAGCCTTTGACCAATCTACTGTCAGGTCAAGCTCTGGGGCATAAAGTAGGAATTCTGACTTGCACAAGTGCTGATGAAGTTTATGCTGTTGAGCCTCCTGGGTTGCCAGCTTGGGCATCTTCACACTGTGTTCCCTTTTGTACTGAGACACACATGCAGAGGCCAAAGAATGAAGATGTCTCATGTTAACTGTAAGATTTCAGGCTGACTTGAGCTTACCAAGACAGGTGGTGAGTGCAGGCACCCAAGGAATCATACTTGGAAGACAAGATTGAAGGACTCCTGCAGTTCACAAATGCTACTTGGGAACCGGATAGTCAAGTACTGCCAGTTCCTAGGATCAGCTTAAAGTTAATAGAGTGATGGCAGGTGCCCAAACATCTTTGCAATCCTACATTTGCAGAGATGTTTTCATCACGAGCAGACAAAATAAAATGGTTTTTAAAACAACACGCCCTGCAGGTGTCTCTGTCTTTGCCACTGAGTATATGAAATTTAAACTAAAAAAAAAAAATCCTAACAGAAAAAGGGAATGAATTCATATAAATAACGTAATTAGAGAAGCTTGAAAGCAGCAAGAATGTGTGAGACTTCAGTGCATTTTTATCCTTTTAAAACAAAACAGATGCTGAGAGGATGTTATAAGAAGGCGTCTCAGAAAGGCTGGTGTAAAAACATTGAAAGAACAGAGAAACTTGCTTTTTTCCAGGAAGACAAGCAGGGACCTGGTTCTGCAGAGCTGGGATGTAGAAATGCATGTTATGGAAATGCTATGTTTTGGCATGATCTGAAATTGCAGACTTGGGAATTAATTAAGTGCGTGAGTGCTCCATACATGCTATATATCATTATGCTGAATTTGGAAAAAAGTTTCAGATGACCTCAAAGGGATGATTTTCAAATCTTCAAGCTTACTTGGAGATTGCCTCCAAGCAAGAGAGCCTTTGCTTAAGTGAAAGGATCACTAGCCCATGGGCCCAATCCACCTGCAAATCCTGCTAGTGTTTGTGTCCTTTTGATAAGGTCCTGTTTTCCCCATGGGTTGGTAAGTCCATAGTCAATAAATCCTTGATTTCTATGGAAAGCAGTGTTAAAACCCCTATATCTTAGGAAAAGGAGATGGGGCTAACTTCAGCACTCCAGCCCTGTTAGCTTTCCTTTTTTTTTTTTTCTTTTCATAAGTCTTTGTGCTTATCCAGATGAATTCATTCAAGATCATAATTATATTAATTAAGAGCACTGTTTCTACAGGTGTGGTTAGTTCCTAAAGAGCAAGTAGCTGCAGAAGGATTGTACAAAAGCAATCTTTGGCAGTTCACAAAAGGCAGAGGTTTTTTAGGCTTTAGCAGGTTCATTTGAAATGCCCTTATGGGGTTGGTATCATTGTTATTTTAATGATGTGGCATTGGAGACATGAAAGAAACAATGTTTTACCCACAATCACTCAGCAAGTCACATCCTTTCTCACTTACTGGTGATGCCACATAACTGCACTGCTGATACCCAGTAGCAAACTAACTCTCATTTTACCATTAGTGGTAACCAAGAGGGTTTCCTCAAGTCAGACTTTAGGCAAAATTTGAAGCAGGCTTTGAGCTGATTCTGCTGTGAGACATCATCCACAGGCAAATGACATTACTAGAATGAGAAGGGGGGGGACCATAAGGCTAATAGTTCACAATTTGTCTGTTCAAGAATGTTTACTTAATTTCATGTCACTAAAAGAACAAAATGCTGTTTCCTTTTAATAATAAACATTATATTTCACTAAAGAAGAAGTAAGACAAGAAGTGATAACAGAAATGCCTCTGAAAATAAGCTATTTGTTTCCTGGCAGACGCAAATCTATTCTGTCTCTCCCTGTTTCCCTCTTCAAATGCACTTGTGTGGGTCCCACCTATGCATCAGGCAGGGAGATCAAGATCTGGCTCCACAGGATGCTTTGTACTGTCCTGAAAGCAAAACTTAATCCATGGAGAGGACAATGCTCTCTTGAGTTACTGGCTCCTTCATCCTCCTCTTGGACAAACTTCCTCTCATCTCCAAAGTGTTATCTGAGTAAAGATCTCAGTATTCTCCTCCCTAGAATTTATTATGAATTTATTGAAAAAAAATACAATCCCTTCAGCTATGAAAATTACCCTCATTTGTCTATAAATAGGCTTAACCTCTTAAACTGTGTCAGATGTTGCAGATTCACCAATTTGATCTAGATCTCCACATCTTTTCTGCTCCTACAGCTCCAGGGCAAATGACTCATGCTGTTTGCAAGTGCCTATCCCACTGAGCCTGGCAGTATCAGTGTGGCTGAAGGTTTCTACTAAAACCTGGGCAGGGATTTTCTCCTCATCAAGCTGAGCTCACCAACATACTGCAGAAACAAATCGGTATGTTGTACTTACATGAAAATCCATGCATTTGCAATAGTCCAGCACCAAATCAGTAGAGGAAAATGTGTTCTAGAGTCAAATAAATATGATAAATGCAAAATCCTATTGATCCATGTAATCATTTTCCCAGCTGCATTTCCCTTCACTGTGGCAGTCCTAGGAAGATTGGTCTGCACTACCTATTACCTTACCTTTGAAATTGGTTGGAAATGTGAAAGGGAAATGTCAAAGTATTTACAGACAATCTAAATGGCTTTTATAGCTTGTTTCTGGAAATCAGAGTTTCCTGAACTGTCTCAATGTTCAGTCCTTACTCTATAAATCACTTGTTTTTAAAAGCAGAAGGGATCCAATTTCCCAGGTGTGTGCCCATTCCTGGAGATGTCCCACCCCTTCTGCTACTTTTCCTGGGAAGGGAAATATCTTAGAAGAGAAAATCAGGGAAAAAACTCTTCTTCTAGGTGAAGGGTAATGGTTCCCTTCTGGCTATGAGGCACCTGGGGATAGAAAGGTTGGTGCAGCCAGTTTTGCCCAAGTTTCCAGAAAGTCCTGGGCCTTGGCACTTATTTGATCATATTTGTGTGCTGATTTGTGGACCAGAGAGACACACAGGAGAGCTGGAATTTTATTTTATTTTATTTTATTTTATTTTATTTTATTTTATTTTATTTTATTTATTTCACTTCTACTTCAGTTATCCAGGTTATGGCATAACGTGTTGTTCTTGCCTAATGAACAAGCTGGATGCTTTGAAAGTCCAGCTGATGGTGCTCTGAGGGCCATCTGTGTCCTCAGCTCCCAGTTTCTCTTTTCTCAAGCTCTTTGGAGTGAGGGCCTGTGTATTTTATGCTGCCATCACAAATAACAGACTCTCAGCTTGATATCTGTGATCAACTGTGCCTGTCACATTTCATGCCATAAAAAACATATGCGCAAGGTTGGAAGGGCAAACATGCTTTTGGCTCCTCTGCCATTTGTAGTTCAGTTTGCCTGCAACCCTTCTTTCATTGTGTATTGCTACTTTTCTCCCAAAAAAATTTCCAGAGCCCCCTGGAAGAAGAAACAGGCTCTATTTACTGACATTTGTTCCAAGTTACTACGAGCAGACAACTCTTGTAGGCTGTAAACAGGATCTCTCAGCTAGAAGCCTTCAGTCAGAACCTACCAAGCCCAAAGACTTCCTTCATTTAAAAAGGTCTGAATCAGCCATTAAATATCACAGCATCTTGAAGAACATCCGTAGGATCTCCCTGCTTTCCTCCTTGGTCAAGGTTTGAGCTGGCACTCAGTCTAAGTTGCTGGGAGTCTTCTCGTTGGATGCCATGGCTCTACGTGCACACACAAGGATTAGTCCATACCGTGAATTAATTCATTAGTTAATGAATTAATTCAGCTGCAAGTTCCACTGCAAGAGAGTGCCAGGGCTGAAATGTGGCCTGAAGCACCCTGAGGCATTGTTGACACAGCCTGGGTGACAAGGAGCCTTCCCATGTTTCTGCACAGGATGAAGCCAGGGTCAATGCGATGGGGAGGAATCATTCTGTGCCATCTGCTCCCTCTCTGGCAAACCTCAGGGCATGGCAGGGAGTTCCTCCCGTGGCTCACCCCTCTGTGTGTCTCCAAGGGACACAGCCCTGACAGGAGCCTGTGGGACATAGTCATGTATGCTCTGACGTGCTGGCTTCCCATTTCACATTTGCTGATGGTCCTCATGCCAGAGGCCATGTTGACTTCACAGAGGTTATATTCTGCAGTGCTCAGGCTGCCTCTAAGATTCTACCCAGGGAATAGATAAACAGAACAATGTTTGAGCCTCTGGTACATTTTAATGTCATTTTCAGGGAAATATATGTGTCATAACAACACAAAGCAGGCACAGTTCCGTTGCTTTCGATCTGCCTGGTGCCAGGGTCCACGTCATTTCAGCATTGAAATAGATCCAGCAAGTTCATGGTAACTTTGCTCTCTGAAAAAGTGCCTCTTTTGCCCCTTGGTCTGTACTTGTCTTACTGTTCTTACAGCACTGTTCCTTACTCCTGTCAGGGAATGTCACGTACTGTTATGTTAACATCTGATTTTCACTGGAAACCCTAGGGAATTGGGCCCTTATCTCCACATACCATGCACATCAAAATAGTTTAATCAAGCCTATTAATTCCAGGGCTTGCTGCTGATCTGGATAAAACACTGCCCTTTCCCAGCACTGCAGCTTTGTAGCCAAGTTTCACATTGCAGCACTCTCCATTAAATTTGTTCTCTGCTCCTTGGGGCTGAACACATTCCCCTAGAGTCCCTCAGGTCTTACAGAAAGGTGCCAGGGTTCAGCTCTAAGGCTCAGATTGATTTGGGCTGATTTTTCAGACCAGAAGCATCCCATCAATCTGAAAATTTGGACTTGAGAGTCCTTGGTGTCACTTCCTGGTGCTCTGGGCAGTCCTTGCCACATCCAAACATTGGTTCAGGGCAACTGCAGAGCCTAGGAAGGCATCCAAGAGCAGAGAGAAAACTCAACAATGTGCCAAGACCAGGGCAAAACTCAGGGGATGTCATTACAGATGTGGCACTGGGGATCTGAGGAAGCAGACATGCCTTGATCCTTGTCCCAGCATGCCTGCTTTAGGGAGGGGTGGTGGGACATGGCTTTTTCATCAGAATGCACAGCCTGGTCAAGAAACAAACTTTAGAGAACTAGACCTGGGAAGGTTAGATATAGGAGGATTGTTACAAGCATCTCCTGACCAGATTGAGAAGTGGACCAGATTCTTCTGCCTTTTCCCACCTCCAGCAGGATTTTACCTCACGGCTCACCCCTGACTCTTAAGGCAAAAGTCTCCAACAGCTGTGGGGATGCCTTGTGTTTAAAGCAGCCACGAGACATGTGCCTGTTGGCCCAGGGCTGCTCAAGATGTGCTGCTGCTTGCTTTTCTGGGAAAGGGTTCTTGCAACATGAAAGAAGTGCAGGCAAACAAAGAGCTCTGGGGAGAGAAGTGACAGGCAGCAGCTGGAGCCAGTGGGTGACTTGCCTAGTGACAGAGCAGTTGGGCTCCTCGCTACTCTGCTACTATTTTGGAAACAACAATAAACAGAAGAGGCCAGATCAATGTCTCAGGGCTCCAACACAAACCCTGAGGAGCCCTGTGGACATTGGTTGCACCAGCAGCTTGAGACATAAGTTTGTCCATAAGAACTCTGCTTCATTTGGACTGTGGGCAAACTCATCGAATTTAGCCATTGAAAACATCATTAGCAGATCACTAATAACCAGATCTCAGCTCCTTTGCAGGTGCAACCTTGCACTGAGGAATTCATGCTCATTGTGCCATGGAGAATATGACTTCAACTTCTGCTGGGGGAGCTTTCAAGCAGCTGGAAAAAACTATGGATGTTTATATTTTTAAAAAGGGATTGTTTTTGCTGCTGTCAATTATTAATGGCTCTCAGGTCAGGCTAAGGAACAATGCCAGGGATAAATTACCCTGTATGCTATTCATATATGCTCTACCCAGTTGTTTCCTTCTCAACTAGAGGATTCACCTCGCAATGAACTCCTTGGCATTTGGAAAAAGAGGACTGACAAAGCAATGAACTTGGTGTGCCCATTTATTTATGCATTGACATCTTTCCTACTTTGTCAGGTGTGTTTAATCAGAAAGAAGCAGGAAATGCATTATAATTATAAACATATTATTGCAGAAGAAAAAGGCTGCCCTCGGAAACGACTGCATTGTTTGATAAATGATTACAGTGAAAAAACACAGGCTTAACCTATGACTCTTTGCTGAGATCAAAGCAAAGTTGCTGCCACAGGCTCCCTGTGCAGCAGGACTCAGCTCTGGGTTTGCAGCAAGGCAAGGGGAAGAAAGTTGAAAAGAAAATGCAATCTCCTCCCTTCTTTTTCTTTTTTTGCCTAAAACTTTTCCTCTAGTACTAAAAAAAAAAAAAAAAATAAAAATGACTTAAATATTTGCTGTTAAAATTAATAGAATTAGTGAAGAACCCAGCTGTGAACACAATAACTAGGGTCATGTCCCTTGTTGAAGCCATGGAGAGACATTGTTTTCGACAGGTTCGGACTTGGGATCCTGATGAGCCAAAGCAAAGATGGAGTTAGAGAATAAACCTGGGAGATTCTGGATGTCCTGCAGACTTTCCATGTGACCTTGCCCAAACTTGCAAACATTCCTTAACTGGGATGACAGCTGAACCCCAGTCAGTGCTGCTGCTGTGAAAAGCAAAATCCTTCTGGGCTCTGAGACCAGGAATGCTGTAGGTAAGATGCAGAAAGGGTTTATTGCCCTTCTCAGCACTACAAGGCTGAGCCATGGCCTTGCACTTAAATAAATAAAAAAACCACCAACAGACAAACTGAAAATTGTCCAGAGGAGAGCAACAAAAATGATCAGAGGTCTAGAAAACATGACTTATGAGGAAAGATTGAAAGGGCTGGGTTTGTTTAGTCTACAGTCTTTGAAACATCCTAATAAACTCTAGAGATGTAAAAAATATATGGAATCTAAAAGGGTCAATCGATTGCCCTTTATCTCTGTGGCAGAAGGTACAGCACAAAGAAGATAGTATTAAAAGCTCTCAGGCCAATAACACCTCAAGTTTGTTACTTGGGGAGGGATCAGAGCAGGTCATGGCAGATTTTCAGTGTTTTGGACAAGAACCATGAGGGACTGGGTAACTCACTGCCCCATGGAAGAGACTGGTTTCAGCCATGTGGGCCGATGGTTTCCTCGGCCTAGTGACTGTGTCAGGGCACCTGAGGACAAGGCCTTGGAGGTGATGAACCTTTAGAGCACTCCCTGATTTGAAAAAAAAGTGGCAGGTGCTTAACCCTTCTAGAAGTTGCAAGCAGAAATAATTTAAAAAAGCCTCTTTTCCATGGCTTCCATGGTTATTAAATGAAGAGCAACAAATTCCCACTTTTTCATGGGGCCATCATTACATTGTGAAGAACCTTGCTGCTCTCCCATGGGGGATTCCCATCTAGGTGAGTACTCAAATGCTCGAATATTTAGATGATTAGACCTCTGAAAAAGCACGTAAAAGTGTATCAGGTAGTGACAACCTTGCAGATCCTGCTCCAAAAAGTTCTCTCCTGACAATGGAGAAAGAGGCACCTTGGCCAACCCTTGCTAGGAGTGCTTTTATAACTGCAGAGCAGTGAGGATGGTATTAGGTACTGGTCTAGGAGGGCCAGGTGGTGCTCAGCACCTGATCAAAAAGGCAACATCCCTTTTCCCCATCATGCCCACTCAGAGCTGAGTATCTCGTCCTGGAGCTGCATGTGCTGCTCCCTACAAATGATTGAGCAACTTTGCTATCCCTCATTTGTCTTGGAAAGCTCAACACTGTTTTCTAATTTCACCCCCTCTTCTTCAAAGGGCCCCAAAAGTTTTGTCAGAGTTTGCATCAAAATTCACCACAAGACAAAAGCCTATTAGAAACCAGGTTTTGAATTTACTGCCCAGCAATCCCAAATTCCTTGAGTTGTGGGCATGAGGTGAGAGGTTTGTGAAGGAAAGGAGCATAAGGTTGCAGCCAGAGCAGAGCTGGCCATAGCCCTTGTCATCTCCAAGGACCTGGGGGTCAAGTGAGGGCTCCCCAAGAGATGCTGGAAAGATGCTGTGTTCAATCCTGCCACAACTCTGCCTCTTTTTTGCGCTCCCCATTTCCTGCCCAGCTGTGCAAGGTACTGCTTGGTCCCACATGAACACAGAAAAATCACTAGTTATATGATACGGGAATTAAAAAAAGTCTGTTTGCTTCTAAGCGTAAACCTATGACTGAGGCAATGGTTTGCAAACATGGGATTATGGTTCCAAGTCAACGTTTTTTTCCCCTCAGTTTTGGGTACAGTCACGAGCCTGGCAGGAATATGTGTCAGCTAAAATGCATGGCAGCAACTGCCGTCTCCTGGAGTCTGGAGCTGAGTGGGGTCACAACAGGATGAAGTTTGGGAAGGCAGCACTGCAGGGTTAGGAATAAACATCTCCCTGGGGCAGACTTTCCATAATTGGCCATGACAAGGCTTCTTTCTCCAGAGAGCTGGAGCTGGTCTGTGAGGAAACAGGATGAATCACTGCTCAAGCTCAATTTGGCAAGTGCCATGATTTCGTTCTGCTCTGCACAGGGAGGAGATGATGATATAGACTGAAAGACAGAACAGAAGTCTAGCCAAAGGCTTCTGAGCTGGGAGAGGAATTTGAGTTCCCACTCATTTTTCACAGGTTTACTCAGGTCCTTAGAAGGAAACCCTGGCAATACCCACTGGTGCAAAAACAATTCCCTTTATCAACAAAGGGAGGGAACAATGGGGACTCCTGAACACAAAGCTCATGCAAACAATAATAGCCCTTTTATTTTCCATTGTTAAACCAGCAGTTGATACTAAATACTTCCTTCCAGCCCTCCACTTTGTTAACTGTTTCTGTCACTCTTCTGCTCAATTTATGGGAGGGATCTTCGTGTCTGGAGCTGGTTTTCTGCAATGTGGTGGTGACTACATGGCTGTGCAGTCTTTTGTGAAGAGGAAGGTTGAGCATGGTTTCCTTGTGCCATCCTGTACCCTTTGAAAAGTTCCACTTTTTTTTTCAAATATGAAGTAAATGGGGTGTTGTTTCTGCCAGCCTTTCTGGATAGTGGTAATCTGTTAAGCTCCTTGCTATCTCAGCAATCTTACCAAGCCTGGTGACCTAACGGCAGTTCACAGCCTGTTCAGTGTCTGATGATTAATACCCTCCCTTTAAAAGTATGCACTTAGTAGCAGAACCCCACGAAAATATTGGTGGAGCAGAGCTGTTTTGCCAAGTGGCAGATTTACTCTTGCTCTTCTTGGAAAGCTGGCTTCCTGTCACTGGCTCTGTCTCATGGGCTTTTTTCCAGTGGTTTGGAGAGAGGAGAAAGGGAAAAAGAAATTGTTCCTCCAAAATACCTCTTCTCTTTTACATCCCCTTTCCTCCATGTGTCTTCTCTGCTATTCTACATTTCAGGAACTCCATCAGCCAAAGTCATCCCAACTAACTCCACTGCTATTCCTCATGCCAAAGGAGAAGGAAGATCCCTGCAAAATAAGATCCTTTGAAAAAGAAGGTGCAGACAATCTTAATTTCCATCCTGTCTTCTCCTGATTCTTCAGAGGGCAGGCAGATGGAACAAAAATCTTCCCTGCACTGTGGAAGAGTGTTAGTTCAGAAAAGTCAAATCTGCTTCTTGTTGCAGTATGAGAGTTCAGATCAAAGCATCAGTCTTTTGCCAATTTCTAATTAGCTGATAGGAACATTAAAATTTTATTTTTTATGATCTGACTACCACACTGAACTCAAGCAGCTGCTCCTGGGCTGGCTACAAGACTGGAGCTTGGGGCTTCCTATTCTAAACACTGCCACCACTGGAAATGGAAAGCTCGGTCAGCAATGAGCAGCACAGGGCTGTGGCAGGCAGCTGAGTCTGCATGACAGCAAAGGTCTTACTTTCCCTGGAGATAGCAGCATCCCCCTTCACTTTTAAAGTCTGTACAAGGACAAATCCAACACTGGGTTCTTAGCCAGTATCTTTTTCCTGTTTCCTCTTGAGATGCTGGGTAAGGCCTCCAGATGGGACTCAGCAGCACCAAATGCAATATCAGCCAGGTGAATAGAGTGTGAGCAAAGCTCATGACCTTTCTGGCACAGGGTCTGGAAGGACTAATGCTGCTAATGCCTTCAAGGTCAGGACTTGTGTGACCTCATTAAGGTTCCCCATGTGCTCTCTGCAGAGTGAGGTGGGTTCTTTCTGGGAAGAAAAGCACAAAATCTCAAGAAGTACCAAGAGTCAATTAGAGAAGGTTAGAACAGGGGACACACTGGAGTGTCAGGCACCCATGGTCAAAGAGTTTGTGCGGCAGCTTTCCCTTTGGTGTCCATGTGTCAGTCTCTGGATCATAGCAGTCCAAGGAATCCAGGTCCTTGATGACATTGTCTGAGGTGAGACATCGTCCTCCTGTGACATACAGCTTGTTCTTGATGACAGTGGCCCCATGATGCATTCGTCTGTCCTTCATGTCTGCACATTTAACAAACTTGTTGCCTTTTGTATCATAAGCAATTATTCTCCGGGTGTACCCTGAATACAAAGCCAGAGGTGGAAGAGAGAGATGGGAATTAAGCTCTTATGGCCAGAAGAAGGAATAACAATGATATATTTCATGCTGGTCTTCAATAAAACATATTATAGTAGTACATAATTTGGCAGAATTAAGATTTATAAACTAATAAGTGATGATATGTCACAGGAATGCCTGGCTGTCTATCTTCCTTTCCTGTCTGTCCTCATCCTGTCTCGTAGCACCTTGGCAGCCAAGGCTTGATGAGCACCACAAAGCCCATCCATCAGGCAACCAGTCTGTCAAACACAGCTTGCAGTTACCTGCACGTGCCTTCAAACATCTGAAAACATTTCTTTTTACCAAACAGAGTCCTAGAACTTCACTAGGAAATACAGAAACCAGTGGCACATGTGATGGCCTTGCTGGGTTGGAGTTGTAGCTGTCTGCTGACTGGAGCTGGGTATGCGACAGCATGGTGCCACCAGTGCTCACTCCACTCCTGAAGCCCTCAGCACCACATTTGTGCTGGCCACCATGCCAGTGACCCAGTGGACAGCTCCTCCTCTCAGGGGTGATGTAACTTGTACCAGCTGAGAGGTAAGCACTGGTGAGAGGGCCACTGCCCTGGAGCAGTGGAGGTGTGGAAGCTTGGTACCCAGCAGTACCTTGCCCATGTAGAAAAACATGAGTGTGGTCTGAGGTGAGGGCAATCTGCCTTACAGGAGCCTGACAGTCTTGGACCTTTGGACTCAGCCCTCCCCTCTTCCCACTGCAAAGGATAGCAGTGGCCTCTCCATGAGGGGTGACACCACACTGAAGTCCTGTGCAGTTTGGGTTCAATCCTCTGCTTTGCTAAAGATACTGTGTGCCTCATTTTCCCTTAAATAATTCAACACATGCTTTGCTCTGGCAGTCTGTAGTCAGGGAAGAGGCATTAAGCACTGTAGAGGGCCAAATTATCAATGACATGATACACCCAACTGGCCACAGCCAGAGGCTGGTCCTCAGGTTGAAAAAGACACAGAGAAGTTTCCTCTTTCCAAGTGTTTCGCACTGCTTTTGGGATATTTCTCAATTACCCCCAGGAGGCAACTAAAAGACCAACCAACACCTCACAGACCTACAGCCCACCCATCCTGAAACAAGCCATCCATGGCCTTGTGGTAACCCTGCTTTCCATTCTTCCAAGTGGAGCAGACAGGGAGGAGCAGGCTGTGAGTCAGGAGGGGAGGGTCAGGAACCCCATGCTCCTGGCTTCCTCCCAAGAGCACTAACTTGTATTGGCCTTTCCTCAGTTTTCTCCATCCAGGTACTGCTAACCTGGGGTAAGAAAGTGCCTCATGGAGAACTTATCTCCACTTCAATTGCCACGAGGCTCCAGAAGAGAAGTGTATGGAGGGTGGGCACACTCCTCCTTTCCTTCCCAAGATCCAGGTGCTTTTTGAGGGAGCACCCCAAACAGGAAGGCTGCGAAAACCTACAGGATCTGGGTAGGGGAGGGACAGGGAAGGTGAAGCAGAGCCCTTACCACCTACGATGATAATCTGGTCTCCAATCACAACAGCTGGTGCACAGACATTCTTCACTACTCTGGTCTCCATACGAAACCACGTATTCCTGGAGACATGGTAAACCTGACAAAAAAAATAAAGACATTCACACAGCTGTTTATGTTTCATTTCAACTGACATTTGTTATTACAGAGGAACTTCTGGGTTTTATTTTGCCCTAATAAATACAATCCTCTGGCTCAAACTGCTGGAAATCTGAGAATGTACCCACTTTTTTTTTCCTAATATGTCCCCTTGGAAAGCATTTTGGATCCTCAAGATTGTCTGCTCAGGAGATGTTAGCACATGCACTGAAGCAGTGTATCTGCCATATGAAGGCTTCTTGCACGGCCATTAAATCACTGTAACTAGTTCTCCCAAAGGACAAGCTGATTCATTTAATTTTCCAGTTATCCTGTGTATTCCTTATTAGCCTTAGCAATTTCCTGGGCAAACAAACTTCAGCTTCAGCTAGCTCTGCTGGCAGCCACCCTGTTTGCCCAGCTGCTATATATATGCTAGTGACTGGTATGCACTCAGACTGGCAAAGGGACTTAGAGTGGTAGCTAAGTCATCGATTTATGTGAGAAAAAGAGCTGTTGCCAGATGATGATCATTCAATCATCTGTATGTGGGTGACACAAACTTTTATGTCATGTTATCTGCTTCTTAATATAGCAAATATTATCAGGGCATCTCCCCACTAACTGATGAATACATTTCCTTCCCCCTGATAATGAAGTACCGTTATAAAGCCCATGCCCTGGTTGCCATCTTAGCTTAATGATCCTTCTTAGTTAAAACACCTTGAACAGTGAAAAACAGTCAAGGGAAAGAAACATTTCAATGCTGCTAAAGCTTCAAATCAGATAAGAAAAAATGTAATGGTTTTTTTCCTCCTGATAGAGTGTAATGGCTGAAAGCAGGCAGAGAGCCAGCAACATGTGGCAGGAGCCACATTTTTAACACAACTGTTTATCCAAAATGACTGTCAGTTTCAGTTCTGGCCCTTTGATGAGTGAGTATCTAATTGCTCTAACGATTGCGAGTGTTTGTGTTTGCTGTGAGCGAGCAGGTGCGCGGCTGAGACCCAGCTCAGCGCCCAGTGGAAAGCACTGATTTTGGTGAGGCTGGCTACAGGCATGGAGCCAGGCAGGGGGAGCTGCTGCTGCCTGCCCTGGCATCACCTGCGGCAGCCCTGGCCCTAGGGCCCACCAGTGGCAGGGCTGCCTGACACCCAAAGCAGTGCCTCTGGGGCTGCTGCCCAAAAACATTCAGAAGGGGAAAATTGAAGAGCTGCAATGCTCCTTGAGGCCATGGATCAACTCATCCTGCCTCTTGCTGCAACACACAATGAAGTTTTTTGAGTGGTTTCATTTCCTCATGAAGGTGATAGACTGCTGAATACCTTAGAAGAAATTGCCTATGACAAGCAGGGCTGACCATTACCTGGATAAGTCGAACAGGGTTTTGCATTATATCTTCTCCCCCAAAGAGGTAAACCCTCTGATCTTTGGCAGCAACAGCAGGGTGAAGGACGGCAACAGGCATGTTTGCCATGCTCTCACAGGTGTTGTAGACACTATCATATCTTTCCACAGAATTCAGGATTTCCTGGTTTTCACCAATTCCACCGAATGATAAAATATAATTTTTATATGCCAGGCTTCTGTGGGAGTAACGTGGAACTAGCATGTGCTCAATCAACCTCCACTGATTGAGTTTGAGGGAGAAAATGTAAATATTACCACTGACCAGACTTTTCTTATTGCTAACAGGCATCCCTCCGAGCACAAAAATATTGCTGTGTAAACTCACTGCAGAGGCTTTGTAGAGGCGCATGGGAAGTTTGGCCAGGCTCAGCCATTGGTTCGTCTTGTCATCATAAAGCAGGACATCCCTCGTTGTCTGCTGGCTGTCCTTCCTGCCACCAACGATGATGAGGAACTCTTGGTTGGAGTACCTGCGAGGAACATGCATCATGGGTTTGATGTCAGGCGTGTTGGTGCTGTACAAGGAAAACATGTGTCTCCGGGCTGACTCCAGGATGCTCCTGCAAGTGGGTGAGGCCTGAACGAGTGAGTCATTAGCAATGAAATGGAAGAGGAAAGTTGGATGGACGTACTGAAGCCGGACCTTCTTGAACAACTCTTGGATGTATCCTTGTCGTGCCTGGAGGTCGTGCCGGATCCAGACCATCAGTGCCTCAAAGACCTGCTCCTCCTCCCCACAAAGTTCATCATCCCCAAGGTAATCGATGAGCTCCATGGGACAGAGGTCCTTCAGGTCCTCAGAAGAGGCCACCAGAGGAAAATATTTCAAAGCCATAGCCTTGGCTTTCTTATTCAGGCTTTGGCAGTTCAAGATTTTTGCCAGTCTGATCATGCTCAGACAGTTGTCAGGGGTCAGCTTGTCTTGGAGGTAGGTAGAGCAGGCCTCAAACAGCTTATTGTACTGCAGCATGGACGCAGTCTCCAAGAGGCACAAGACATTCTCAGTGGATATTAGAATCTCTCCAGTGTAAACATAAAGGATAATCTGATCCAAAATATCAGCGTCGATGCCCTTTAGAATGACTTTAGGCTGGTGACTCTCCCTGAAGTTGTCACAGAACATTGCCTTGAAGTATGGGCTGCTGGAAGCCAGCACATTTCGGTGACAGGGGATTTCAAAGTCCCCGGAGCAGAGGGTAACATCGGTCAGCATCCTGCTCTGCCGCAGAGCATTCAGCTGCCTCAGCAGTTCAGAGGAGAAGTCCTGGTCTTTGAAGAGAAACTCTTCAGTGGATCCCTCTTCCATTGCAAAATATGAGAGAGATGAATTCTGGACTTGTCAGAAAAAAAACCCCAAATTCTTAGCAGCTTTTATTGAAAATCCAGCTCCAAGGGAACAATTCAGGACTTTGATGTTGCTGTAAATATCCGTTCACTATTACACATAAAAATGGAACATGGTTTAAGCACAGTGGGAAAATAATAAAGAAGCCAAAAGGTCGTTAAGACCCTTTAAAACTTTCATAAAGTTATCAGATAGGTTGCAAGTCTGAGGTCAGCACTGCCTGTGTCGTTGGCAAGAAGCAAAAGCACTGAAGTTATCTCACTGATTTTGGATTAAAGCTGGAGGGCTGAAGCAATTGGTTTGTCCGTTTCCATCATGTTGAACAAATGCACTTAGACATTTATTCTCTATTTTAAAGTATTAGCAGTTTAGTAGCTTGTGCCTCTTTCCTCTAGAGTTAGTCACTCCCAAAGAATGCAAATCTGGCAGAGTTGAACTCTGCAGCAGGACGAATAGAACCCTGGAGGCTGGGAATCTGCATTAAAAGTTATTTATTAACTCTGCTTAGCTGTGTTTTTTTAATGTTAATCAGACACACAATGACTAAATTAAGTGCCAGGCAGAAAAATATGATGAGTATCTACGGCCATGGCTTAACTGCTCAACCTGCAGTGGAACCGAAGGGTAGAAACGTTTACCTTCTGTTGTCCTTCACTGCATGCACTTACTCTCTGTCGTTTATTCTCTGCTGAGTTTTTCCACAGCTAGAGCCTGGACAAAAACCTATAAACCCACGGGAGGTTTCTCTCAGTAGGTAGGTGATTCACAGAGGGTGATTTCTGGCCGTGTTTATGGCGCAGTGAGCGCGGCCGCTGCGGGCGCTGCGCGGAGCGGCGGGCGCGGGGCATTGTGTACATTCCAGCGCTAAGAATAGGCGGCAGCGCTCCGCGCTCTTATCGCATGTGACGCCGCCGCTGCCTTTTGCAATGACCTGGCTGGTTCTGAGCATGCCCGAGTGGTGTTTTTCTGGCAAATGTTTACATATAATAAATAGACACGGAGAGGAAAGTTCACTTATAAAAGTCCTGGCTGTCCGTTTGGAAACAGTGGCAGGACGCTGTCCTGAAGTGCCTGGGAACTCTAGAAGCCTGTAAACAGTCTGCAATGCCTCGCGCTACGCTGTCACCGGCGGTTCATGGAGAAAGGCGGAGAGAGAAGTGCTTCGAGGGACTCCGGTGGGATGGACCGTGTCTCCACCCTATGGAGAGATCTGGGGAGCATCAGCCTGCTGCAGTGTGGTGGGAGATGCACTGGGACCCCTGCATCCAGCGCTGCTCCAAGGTGGGCAGGGAAAGCCCAGCTACCTTCATCAAGCAGAAGTGAAGTTCACTCTTAGAGCAGTTTATCTTTATGATGCTGCTTGACATTTCATATAGAAAACACCAGGTTGTGGCCTTTTGTCTAAGGACCTCAGCTCTCTGAAACCCCTACCAAAGAACTTCTCAATCAGATGCCTTGAGGATGCTCAGTGGTACTGGAGCAGGTTGCTGCAGTGAGTAGCAAGCTGGAAACCAAGATTCCAGAGTGGCAATTCCCAGGGTGGCACAGAGCTCCCCAGGGCACACACCTTGATGGGGACCCTCACTGCAGATGGCTGCACGTGAACAAGCTAAGCTCCTTTTGCAGGCAGTGAGGTCTAGTCAATACAAATGAGTCTGCCAAGTAATTCAGATCACCAGTATGTACAACCTGTATTTGGGCAAGTGAACAGTCCTCCAGGTACTGCTGGGTGTCCACAGGTGCTCAGCTGCCTCAATCACATGTGGGTGCCCATATTTAACACTCCCATGGTAGGCATCTATGATGATGAGCCTAAATCTGTCCTCAGAGCTGGGATCACTCAAACGCCTTGTGCCAGGGGAGGATCCTCCGGAACCCCAGCTGGTGCCCTGTCAGGGTCTTCAGCAGGTCAAGTGTGATGTGTCCCATCTCTATACCAAATTCCTGCGTGCTTCAAGAGAAATAGAATTGGCTGCTCTTGCCTGGGTAACCGAAGTGAACTCCTCATCTCTGCTGAGATTTCTCCCTTTGTTCTAGGGTGGGGCTGAATCCAAAATGTAGTTTCTAAGCATCCCTACAACAGGGAAACACAAGGTTAAAACAAAAGTCCTTCTCATATTTTCAAGCTTACGGGTGAGTCATGTCTGCATTTAGTCACAGCGAGGCAGACGAGCAAAAATCATTGTTGCCTCGTGTCAACTCCCGTGCCATGCTGGTGTTTGCAGTCCTCCATATGTTCCTGCCCCTGTGTCCATGGTGCAGCAGATCACAGGGATGTGGGCAACCTGTTCCTCTAAAAATGGCAGCTTTGCATCATGGGCATGCTGTACATGGCCTTTCTGACATGGTGAAAAGCCTGAAGGCAATCAAACGCCTGAGGGCCCAGCCCCATGTTAAAGACAAGGTGGAGTCAGGCTGGTGTAGCTTTTTGGAGGCTGCCCACACAATCTGTGTGTGTGCACACACGTGTATGAGGTAAGGTGAGGGAGGGCAAGAGCAGGAGCCACTGGACTTGAGTCTTGCAGATGAGCCACTTCCAGGGTAAACATGGCAATTGACAGCATTTCCCCTCTTATCAAGTAAAGAAATGACCCAAGAATGATGTTGGGGTGCTGGGGAAAATGTACCCTCCCTCCCTACTCCCTGCTGCTGCTAACTCATCAGCTGGACATGATCTTGCTATAAATATTTAGAGTGGCATTAAAAACCCAAAGGAGAATTTTTCTCTCTCCTTGTCCAGGGAACATTAGCTACCCAAACAAAACACCCTCTCACTCTCTTTCTTGCTCTGTATGCATATGCTCTTGTTGCAGTCCATTCTGATGATTGATTGTAGCTTTATATCTCTCTTCTGGCTCTAACTCCTTGTTGCCTATTTAGTTCTGCCTCTTCCTGGCAGTGGCTGTGGATTACTCTCTTAACCCTTTAAGAAAAAAATAATGCCATCTGACTTCATTAATGACACTGGCTTACGGGGTTGGAGAAGTCTAGGTGGGATGTTCTTGTGCTTCAGACACTGATAAATGTGGCATTTATTTAGAAGATCCCAGGCTCGATGGCTTTGCACAGTTACGCAAATTCCTGCTAGCCCAGAGTACAGAGTGTGCTGTTTAAATAGCTTACTGCTTTGGGGAGGGTGCTGATGCTCCTTGCTGAGTCCCCACACAGGTCCCTGCCAATTTAGAGCCAAGGCTTCTGACAAATAAAGCTCCTGCTGCCTGCCTCACAACTCTCTTCATATTTTTTCCCACAGGTTATGGCTTCAGACACATCTACAACCAAGTGGGCACATCAGCACTGCTTAGTTAGGATTTTCTTTATAAATAGACTAGAAATCACTTTTCATGCCAAAGACAATATGTCCTGTATGCCCCCCACTCTACAGTGGGGGGTGGGCAGGGGAGGTGGATTATGAGCCCTGATGAGAGGGTGGAGCTGTTTCTGCTGTGGGACAGTCTAAATTGTCAGATAAAATCAGTTTCTAAATGAGCTCTTGAGGCAAGTTTTCTAGGGAGTATGCTATTGACTGAACCAGACCTGAGTGGTCTTTCTTTTGGGAAGACAAAATTAGTGCATTACCATGAGAGTGAGATCTTGCACAGAAAATGGTCTTGTCTGAACACAAAGGGGAAAGTGGCCTCATTCACAGGGTATGTGACCCAGCAGCACCTTGAGATGTGATGCTGCAGGTGCCCCATAGCCCTTGATGGGCTGGAGCTATTGGGGGCTATTAAAAACTGTGACCCTCTGTAATTGCTGCTGTACAAACTCCATCTGTGGCTAATTTCTAGAAAATGGAAGCATCTACCAAAGAACAACCATGTTGTTGTAATGCTGTACACTCATCCTGCTCCTTCTGCTCTTTCTCCTTAAGTGTTTGGCATCATTCAGTTTTGGAATTGAGGTGATTGAACCTTTGATCTAACCCAGAGCAACTCTTCTTATGTTTTAATGCAAGAGGATGATGAAATGTCATGCACTGAGCAACAGAGCGGAAAAAAAAGCTGTAATCTGACCAGCCAGCAGACAGGTGCACACAGACTGGTGATGTCAGACAATTTCTAAAACTCATATACTGATCCTATTACAATTCAGGTGAAAATGAACAAATATGGATAAAGAAAAAGGACTGCTCAAGACAGAGACTTCACTGAGATTATTCAGTGTTATGTGCACTGTCTCAATGACCACCAACCCCCACAGCAATCAAGAGACAGATCATCCCTTTACCCAAATTTTCAGTCTAAACTGACAGGGGACAAGAAAAAATATTCCTTATTGTGGTCTTAATAAAACTGGGAGAGGGAAGAAAACACAGGATTAACATTTCTCATTGTATAAAGAGACAATTACAGGGATCATAATTAATCAGATGCCATGGAGAGGATGGGAAGATGCCTCAAGCAGCAGTGGTGGCTGGCTGGGGTGACAGCTCAGCCGAGGCTGGGAGCATTAGCTTGCTCAGTGACTTGTTCAGATGAACTTTTGAAATCTTCAACGGTACAAATTTCACAACCTCTCTGGACAACCTGCTTCCGTATGTCTGATAGGAATTTCTTTTGCTGCAATTTGTGAATCCTGTCTCTTGCCCACAGAAAAATCTGCTAACTTTCTTCTGCTGCTGCTACTTGCCAGCTGTCTGATCTTCTTCCTATAATTTTAAGTCCAGATATTCTTATGGTCTTTCTCTCTCATTCTTCTGTAACTACTATGTTATTAATTTTCTATTTAGCTGCTCAGCAAACACATTTTCCCTGAGTCCTATTCCCTGCCATTCACATTGATATGATACTTAATGCTGAACTAAGGCTTATTTTAAGAATCTGGGCTTGGTTCTGATTTCGTAGGCAAGGGCAACAGGCTGCATCTATAGATACTGGTCTTGAACCCCTGACCTAAACTTATAAAGGCATGGGGACAAGTTTTACAGCATTGGAGTCACAGAGCAACTTCCCAAGAGTCACTGTTTGCATTGTGTACAGATAGAGAGATACAGCATGTAATTCAATAATGACTTTGGCTCAGTATACGTGGGTGTGAAGATGTGTGGGCTCCTGGCTTGGTTTCAGGACAATCTCTAATTAAAGACGGAAAGATTAAGATGAAAGCAATTGCACTCTTCTTTAGTCAGAATGATCTACTAGCGTTAATTAAAACAGTCTTCAGGCAAAAATAATTTTGGCTGCCAAAGTTATGTGCTTCACATTAAATAAGGACGTAGCTGGTTTAAAGAGTGCTAAGCTTCTAGAGGTTTCACAGAAACCACTCATACAGCTTTGGGCACTTTTGTTGGAATATTTTAAAACAAATCCTTTGCCTAAACCAGCTACTTCTTGTGTATTTCAGACACCCACTGGCTTTTTCTTCAAACTACATCATTTGAGAATGGGTACCTTATCTTGGTGTGAGCATACAGTGTGCTGGAGGATAAAATATCACCCTATCATTGGACACCAAAGTATCTTCATCTATCTTTTCTATAGCTCTGGTTACAGACCCACGGCAACAGCAACAAGAAGATACTTCCATTGCTCTGTGCTTGCTGGGTCTGAACATTAAAATGCTTGTGATAAAGGCATTTAGGTATTCAGGATCTGCCTCTGATATTTTTAGGTAGCTAGAAGTGTTCCTAAAGAAGGGTCAGGCCTTTAAAATGCCACAACGTCCTATTACACCTTTGTGAGACACCAACCACTGCTCTAATAAGCTACACATCTTTACCATGTCTCATTTGTACTGCCCCATCTTATAACTAGATGGCCAGGAGCCACTGCTGTGACATTGATCCAAGAGGGGAGAAACAGGTCCAGGGCTTCAGAAATACTATTTTCAATGGGAATATGATGGCATCAGTCATCACATCTCAGAGGGCCTGAAAGACCCTTCATCATGCAGAGTGCTGGTGCACTTCAGAGGCAGAAGGGGCCAGACAAAGAGAAACGCTCATGAACTCATCTCCTTGACCTAAATTCTTCTTGGTTGTCAGGTTCTGTTATATTTTTTTTTTTTTTTCATGTACATCTTCGCTCATATGTTTATAAGTTCTTAGGGTAATTCAGGGAGGAAGGGAACTCCAGTGGTCTCTAATTCAAGCTCCTGCTCAAAGCAGGGTGAGCCATGAGATCAGACCAGGAAATATCCCAGGATGAAGATCATGCAGCTGTCCAGAGGCCCACGTCTTCCTCTTTGGGAACAGCATTTCCTGCCTGACATCTACCTCACAAAAGACCCTCCTCTTTCCCTGTGATGCTCCTGCACCATCTCCCAGGACGTGGTCCTGGTGGGGACTGCAAGTCTTTCACTCCTTCATGGGATAATTTAGGAGGTGACTGCTGAGAGGGCAACTCACAGATAGGGAAATCACTCTGGCCTTCCCTGTTGACAGCAGGACTTTAATCAGGGCCTGACTTAAATCATTAGTTCATAGCCCTCAGGTTGTTTAAAGAGCTGTGATAATGAGCTGAGAAGAAATTACTATCCATTTTCTCTTGGCAGGACTGTAATGGCATGGCATGACATTCATTGAATTTAGGAAAGAGCAGGGATAATCTTCAGAATGAGAGAAAGACAGAAAATCTACCCAGAAGAAACAATGAGAGAAGATTCCTCCACATATGCAAACACAAAGAGGTCAATTTATATCTAGTTTTTTCAACATGTCTTTATTGCTTAAGGGCATTTGGCAAGAAAGCCATAACATAAACCTCACATCCAACATTACTTGGCAACATATTTCCCAGCTGGAAAGAAAATGGATTTTTTTCTTTGTGCTAATGCCACATTTTTTGGATGTTTTTTTTTGGAAACTAATCAAGAGATGGCTGCTCAGCATGCCTTTTCATTCTTGATGGGCTTTTAGTGCAAAATTGCCAGCAGTAACTTTCTGAAGTCCCCAGAGGTGTCAGATCGGACAGCTTCAGCTAACGGCTTCTTGTACATTTGCTGGAACTTCTCCTTTATTGCTGGCAGGTCGCTCTGAGGAGACATCAAGAGCCTCTTTAGAAGAGTGGTGAATGCTTTGAGTAACATGCCCTGCCCCTGCCAGCCCCCCTGATTCAAGGCCCACCACACCGAGTGGGAGTAGGAGAGGAGAATGCAGGAGGGTTAAAATTCTTGGAAGACTTTTAGCTTAACATTTGAATTCGAAGTAAGCCCATGTCAGATGGTGGCGAGGGGATGCTAACAGTGAAGAGGGCCTGTATGGAAAGTTATGCCAAGGCTGGGAGAATCTCTGCCCAGTGCAGCCTTGGTACTGGAAAAACACACAGGTCACTGTGAACTCTGAGACCATCCCCTGGTGGCAAACAGGGAAAGAGGCATGTCCCAGGAGTATGGCTAAAAAAGAGTTGTTTCACCCATAGCAGTAATTTTCTGGTTACTGTTGGGGGAGGAACAAACTCCTTATCTGGAGCAGTCCTGTAAAAAGGTACCTTCAGCACAGGTCTGATCTTTGTCACTGTGGGTTTTAAATGCTATAATGACTGGACTGTGTCTTTTTAGTGACAGGGTATTCCCTGGAGCCTAATTTTTCTCACTGTGGATCATTGAGAAATATGCTTTCCTCTTGCCTGTGAAAGGTTCCTCCTCTGTGGCAACTGAAACAGCCCTGGGGTTACAATCTACACAGCTTAAAAGGAATACTTAAAGATACAAATGTCTTGTGAAGTTTGGTGCTTCTTAAAATGACAGTTAACTCCTTTGGTTTTGTATTTCTCTTCCCTCCTCCCCATCTGTTTTTCCCAGCTGGAATCAGAGAAAATTGGCAACATATGTTTATAAGCAATTCTCAAATTGGAAACTGCTGCTTTATCATTAATTAACTAGGAATTACTTCTACACATCCTACAGGGGCCAGACCTCCCCATGGGTTGGTTTTAACCAGGTACAGTTGGCTCCACTTGAAATTGCCTACATGCTTCCTGGTTTAGTTCCTTTGAAAACAGAAATAGATGCAATATCAAAATTAGAGGTGCCTGGGTACAGAAGCAGAGTGTGACCACTGATGTCACTGGGCTGAAAAGGGTTTGCTGAGCACATGATCCATCAGGACTCACTCCATACCCTCTACATTTGTATTTCTCCCAGAGCTGATGTGAGGCATTACAGGACACAGGGTACCCTACCTCAGCCCTGGTCACAAGGATGCGAATCAAGGTCTTTTCATCAGTCCCAGCTCCTTTCATCGACTTGTGCAAAAGGGTGGCAAAGTAGCCTGGGCAGTCTTTGGCACAGCTGACTAAAGAAAACAGTAAGAGGCCTCGTTATACTTGTACATTTCCAGTTTGTGATACAACTTCAAGCAGAATTAAATAAGTAAGAAAGAAAAGGAAACTCTAGTGTTTATGCTTAGACATATGAGCTGGCAGGGCTTTTATTCTGAGACTGATCCCCTATAAGTATGCAAGGAGAAGTCTTGGAGTCTGAATGGGATGCCCATTTTTCCACAAGAGATTACCAGCACTGAGTAGTCAGCCTTTCCACAGTGAAAATGACATGAACGAGAATGAGCATTTACCCCCATGGGGTTCCTCTTGCCCATCCATTCTTGGGGTAGCTGCTCACTCTGCAGATCACAGGAGGAAGATCTGTGAGAGCCTAAATCCAGATGGGTAACAGCAATACCAATGACACAGGGCACAGGTTTAAACACTGGCCAAAGCCAACCCTAGTACTAAATTGCTGTCAAGGACCCTGTATATTTTTGTGGTGGCTGGCTAGCACACTTCTCATTGTGCCCAAACATCTGCTGGATGTTATCACCAGCTGTTGTCCCAGAGGCATCTTGGAGGTGGCTACTCTGTTTTAGAGGCAAAACATTCAGCTTTTCCTGTGGAAAGGAGCTGTGTATGGCAAGTTTTAGTTTTAAAAATAAGGAGTCCAAATCACTACTGAAAACTGTCTCTTTTTTCCCTGGCAGATATGTTAGCTCAGTTTAGGGGTAACTCAATGGCTGTTGCCAGGCTGTACACAGACCCCCAATGATCAATGTCAGGTGACAGCAAGAACTAGAAAAGAAAGGTCTTGAAACTATTGCATTTTACCTAGAGTCAGATAAGCCTTCTCCAGATCTCCAGATGTTTCACTTTTAATGGATTCTTCTATGTCCTTCCCACACACCTATGAGAACAAAAAGGAGCCATAAGAGCTTCTGTCTGTACATGTCTTCCCACTGTCCAAACCAGCATCAGATTCAGGATCCAATGGCAAGAGGTGAATCCAGATCCTTTAGAGCCTTTTTAAAGGAGTAATTTGAGGGAAAATGTAGTTCTCCTCTGATGTAAGTGCTCACAGACCCATTGGCACCAAGAGAAGGTCTGTGCAGCCAGGTGAGGGACAATGGTTATGTGATGGACAATCTCCATCATGCAGTCCCAGGTATCTGACATCTTCTGGGACAAAGAAGCTGCAGCTTCTTCTTGAGTGACCCCTGGTCAGCAGAAACTGTTTGAGCTTTCTCTAGCCCCTCTATCAAAGGCTGTGGATGCCTCTCGCATAAATAATTTTTGGAGCTTTACCAACTCTGTGAAGTTCTGTTACTTATTGTCTTTGGCTTCCCAGGCAAAGTTTACAAGCACCGTGGTTGTCCCAAAGTTTTTGTATTATTCTGTAGGGAACTGGAGAAGCAGACTGTCTCTTCAAAACAGAGTTTATCCTGCCTTTTGTGAACTCAGGAACCTCAAAGACTTCTACTTTGCTCTGCTTTGTGTATCAGGATGTCCCTGCACGATTCAAGACTCTGGCTTTTAGGTCAGAGCTGGGAGACTGTGTGTACAAGGCAGCAAGGACCCCACGTGAGGCTTTAGGGCTTAAGTTCTGCAAAGCACCCACCTGGTTTAGATCATGCCCCATGTATCTCTCCAGATGAAGAGAATGTTTGCATTACTTGTTTAGGTTGTGTTTGCAAGATTTGGGCTCTAATCTTGGCCTACTTCCACTTCGAGTGCAGCCAGGCAGGATGTGGTGGGTTGGTTTGGGCAACCTGATCTGCTTGCTTTAGCTTTGAGTTTTTAGGAATCAAAAGCAAAGGCAGCTTGGCTATTGCAGCATTTAACTGAACCCCTAGGGTATGGGCCACTCTAAGGGAGAGAGTATCAGTTTGTGACTGGGTTTATTCTCCTGCCAGCAGCAGCCCAAAATTTGGATTAAGCTGCAAACGTTTTTGTAGCTATTGGTTCCTTATTATGCTGACACTGAAACATGGCTTTGACTTGAGCTCTTTTCATCTTCAGTGCCTAAGGCTACAGTTTTCTGATGAACTCAGAGTCTTCCCAGGGAAGTTCAGGACTGTGAGCCAGAGGCTGGAGGGAGACTCTTTCCTGAGATGTCACTGCTGAGCTTCCACCTTGCTGCTAGGAGAAGGACCTTGGATCTCCCATTGCTTTGACTTTCAGAGGTAATTTGCAAGCAAGGTATCTCCGTATCAGGTCAGGTTCAGGCCCAGGCATGAGTAAAATGTCCCTGCTGGGTGACAGTACTGGGAAAAGTACTAACAGCCAGGATCCTGCTGCCTACTTTGCCTTATGCCTGGAGACAGGGGAAAGCACAGCAAAGCACCTGTACAGGCCATCTGCCCAGTGTGGGCACAGAGGAAAAGGCTGGAGATAAGCTTCTCCTCAGCCAATATGTGTGTGAAGTGGCGGGAAGAGGAGGAGACACTGTGCCAGGCTCTGTTTAGGAGAAGGAGAAGAAAAGACCAGAAAAGCAAAGCCTTGCTTCAGGGCAGGAGTTTGTGAACCTATCCCTTTGCTGTGGGGGGGGGGGGGGGGGTACACTGCCTTGCAGCTGTGGGAAGGAGCAGACATTGTGACATTCATTTGGCTGAGTATTGTGTAAGTTATGAAGGGGAATGGGATCTTCACTGGCAGAAGATACACCTTCTCCTGTAAATCACCTATTTCTGTATGCTCAGGATACAGTTGTATAAATATGTTTTCCAAGATTCTTAAAGCATTCAAGAAGTTATAAAACGGCAGATAAAGGATTGTCTACTCTACATAGAATCATTTAAGTTGGAAAAGGCTCTTCAGATTATTACATGCCATTGTAGAGTCTGCATCTATATGTCAGGGCCTATGCAACCCACATTGCAGAAGACAAACTCACCTTTTCATAGGCTTGAAAAGTAGCTCTCAGCTGGCTATAGCTTCTCTTTGCTAGGACGACATTGAAAGCCAGCTCCTCTGTTCCCCAACGGCCTTCTCCAGCCTTCAAAAGCACATGTTAGTTTTTGGAAGCACTTGTTCATACACAGTAGAGACATGAAGTCAGCCAGAGCCCTTGATCCATCCAGCTCCAGCCCATGCCCCCCTTGCTCCTCTCCTTGTGCTGCCATTGCCCCCGTGCTTGGTTTGTTAGTCCTCCCGAGGTAGCCCTTGGCACACAGCATGGAGGGAAAAGGGATTTTTGCACATCTGCACTTACTTTATACAGATCTGAGGCATCTTGCTCAGCAAGCTCTGCATTGACCTGCTGGGTCTCATCTCGGGTCGCCTGCAGAAAAGGAGATAACCGTGAAAAACACCCAACGGAGCGTTGGTTTCGTTTCAGCTGGTGGCCCTCACAGCTATTTGGGTTGGGGTTTTGCTGCCATCTGCTGACACGGGCCCGGGGACGGGCACGGTGGGGCTCGCTGGGTTCCGTGAACCCTTCGTGTAGTGCTTGTCCCCAGCTTCATGTGCCATGTGCCGGGGTCCTCAGGGGATTGCGACGCTGATGCCCCTGGAGCAGGAGGGTGCCCAGGACCTGCAGTGAAGCGCTGATGTTTTTCACAGGGCTGGATGTGCCCTGGCAACTGTGAAATGTTTTCCTGACTAACTTATGTACTCTGAGCATTCACCAACACTGCCATCCCTGGGAGAAATTATCGATGAAAAAAACCAAACAAATAATAAATGTATTTACTACTCCTGAAAGTATACAAGAGATTGGAAAGAGCTGTACCAATGCTTCCCAGAATGAGAATCCATACTGTGATGTATTTAGTGTTGTGACTGTTATGTCATTAAAGCTTCTTTTATTTATTCAGTCTTTTCATGTCTCAGGGCTGTCAGATCAGACTGACCACCACATTGCATTTCTCGTTGTGATTCTATTTTTCTTAGTTATAATGTGTCCTTATGAAGGTATTGATTTTTCCTTTTTTCATGAAAGGGGTTTAAAATAAAATGTGTTCTAATGGAAAATAAGCTTTTTTTGATGAATGAAAAACTAACACAACAGCAATCTCTTTCTTAGTTGTTCTGTATCTGAATTCTGAAATGCATCTGAAATGCAAACAAGATTTAGTGTTTTGGGGCAAAATTCAGAATAATGAGACACTGACCTCAAATGGGTAGTCTAGCTTTTACCATGGTAGAAATAACAGTAAAACAATCCTGTTATTTTCAGAGTATCAATATTTATAAAACTATCTGTGATTTCATAAGCAAAAATTGTATATATTGAAAAGCCATAGATATTAAAGGCTCTTATATTGAAGAATGCCTTTTGTTTACCAGACAATACTTATTATGGTGACTCAGGGAAAAAAGGAAATATCTCTGCCAGGCAGCTGCATAAGGGGACAGTTCCCAGCCTTACCTCTAGCACCATGACCAATATCTTCTGTAGGGAGCCACTGGTGTCACTTTTAACATCAGACTCTAGATCCCTGTCAAACACTGCGAAGAAAAAAAGTCTGTGAGAATTCAACCAGTGAGAAAGGATTTAAATGAAGGTGTTTGAAAGAAAAAACTTACGACGTTTGTAGGCCTCCTTTATGTTTACAATCTCCTAGGAAAACAAAAAAATAAATAAAGTAATAATCAAATAAATAAAATATGTCTTATTAATTAATAAATAAATGAGCAAACAAAACACCAGCAATTCAGCAGCATGCCTGTAGTGCGTGAGGTGCAGCAACCACGGGGGTGGGAGAAGCCATGAATTCCCAGTCCCCATTGAGGACAGCACTTTGAGGGGTGCCTGACTCATGCAGGTCTCCCTCTGGTTTTCCCTGCATTTAGGCAAGAGCTAACTAATTTTTTTTTTTTTTTCATTAGGATCATGTTCCTGTACCTCTGAACCATCAGGGCATGCCAAAGCTGCTTTTTAGCATGTATCTGGGGTTTCTTCTCACCAGTGTTGCCTCTGTGCCATCCAAGGCAGGTAGGAATAGGATAAAGGAAGGAATGTGAATTTTATTGGTCTTAGCTCCTGTTAGAGTTTCAGCTCTAGTATGGCAAACACTGGCAAGAGGCATTTCAGCCACAGAAGCTGGACTGATCCCTCCTCCTCCTTGCACGGATCCTCTTGGTGAGCTCTTTGCCCTGCTGCCCCAGGAAGGTCACCCGTGGTGCTCCAACCTTATTGTTCCGTGTGCAGAGAATCTCAATCAGCAGCGACTCATCTGTCCCAGCTCCCTTCATCGCCTTCCGAAGCTCTCGGGCCTCGTACTCGCAGGGCAAGTCCAGCAAAGCCAGCACAGCCTTTTCAAAATTCCCACTCAGGTCTCCCTTCAGGTCCTCTTCCATCTCCTGTGGGGGCAGTCAGGAGGGTTAGTGCAAAAGCTGAGGTGAGATTAGAGGATTTCTTACTTTGTTTATTATCATTGTCTAATGACTTAAAAGTGCCTTCTATACCAAAAAGTGACAAAACAATTTTTAAAAGGCCTTAAAATACACAGACTTTTTTTTAGAAGCTAAGTTCCCTAAAAATGTTGGTTTCAGATTGACTGAAATGATTGCCCCATCTTCAAACACCAGCCAATATCAGTCTAGTTATGACTCTTACTTGTGTAAACAAATGCAAACTATTGTTTTGAAAAACTTAACAGGAGTTTAATCTGAAACAATATGTGGAAGCTTCCTCATTCAAAAGAGCTGCCACACAGGGGATCAAACTAAGAATCTTCTCTGTCAGTTTTGGTTAAACCTGACGTCCTGGAAAAAGCAGCAGCTTTCTGCAAGGTGCTTTTATGCCAAGCAAACAGCATTTTTACACACACACCCCCACATCAACCTTAAATCCAAATTCAGTAAGACCCTGGAGGAGAGCTGGCTGGTGCATGCTGAGGATGCCAGCTGAGGGTGTGTTTGAACTGTCTGCAGTTAACATATCCTGCAGCATGGGAAGCACTTGACAAAGTCAGAACCCTGAATGAGAAGTCCAGCTCTATTATGCTCAAGTTCCTGCTTGCACAACTGCACGTGAACACTCAACTGCTCCAGTCAGAGGCTGCCATCTGTGCTGGAGCAGTTTCAACACACCCCACAAACGCTGCAAGTTCCTGGAGCAGCAGGAGGGAGATGGTACCACTTGTGCCTCCTTCCCAGGAGATTCAGCCTGCCCAGGAAAGTAGAAGTGTTCCTGTGAGCTGATGACACTGTGATGTTTCATGGCATTTGATAATTTCTAATGCCTATATGTATTAACTCTCATTATAGAACAAAATCTATAGTATTTACAGTAACCAAAATCTGTATCATGCTTGCTGTAAATTTTACATATAGAAGGTTTTCATTTGTCTTCAGTGCTGTCTTATTGACACTGATTAATGAGCAAGCAGACACCAAGAAAATACCAGTTTAATAATAAGGTCTGCAGGATTCAGTTGTTTACTGAAACAATATTTTAGAAGCTTTATTTTTCTTACACACAAAATCATCAGGGCAGTTTATGCCTCCTGCAGAAATCAAGTGCCCAATGAAACTTCTTAGTTTTGCAACATGTTCCACTTCATCACTGGAAGAAATCATTATTATCTCTATTAAATTCAATAAAAATAAAGTTGTGTGAGATCAAATAGTTTGTCTGAATTTGCATCTGGTCTAAGTGGGACTCTTACTTATAATTTCCCTTTTACATTAACTTCTTTTTCTGAATGTGCTGAAGATGAACATAAGCTGAAATATTTTCTATTTCAGTTATGAATTATTTTCTAGCTCTCCCAGCTTTGATTAAAATGCTCTGATCTGGTTAAGGCTGACTTCAAGAAGATTCTGAGGCCTAAAATTAGAAATATAATCAGTATTTTAGGAGATAAATTGCTGAATCAGAAAGTAACTGGTGTCCTCCTTAAATGCACTATGCCCTTGATATTTTCAAAAGCAGAGGCCTGTAGGCTGCATTTTCAGAGACAGTGGTTTCAAATAGGGAGGCCACTTATTTCAAAATACCTTGCCATACAAATCCTTGTACTTCTGTTTTATTTGTTGTCTCTGCTCCGATGTTCGACTTGATAAGACTTCAATAATTTTTTTTTCATTGGTTCCTGAAAAAGAAGTTGTACATAGGGACTTTATAATCAGGAATCTAATGGAGAGGAAAGAAAATGTGACCTCTAAAGAGAAAAAATTCCTGTACACATATCCCCAGTGGTTCCACCTTTATGATTTGTAGCACCTAAGATTCTTTTGAGGATAATTTTAATTGTAGTTAGCTACAATGTTCAATAAAATAAAATTTCACCATCTCATGCTGTTAATAACAAAGAAATGGAGTCTTCTGTTTGAGAAGGGCAGACACTGCTCCTAAAATCAGGAGCCAGGCATAGGCTGGCATACACGTTTCTGGTGACAATGCTTGTTTGAGCAGTCCCAAGTGATCAGCCACCAGATCCAGTTTGTTATGGGCATGAATTCTGTGCTGGCACAACAGAGTGAGGGCAGTGGGGCAAGAGCTGGGGCAGGCAAGGATGTGTTTGAATCAGCTCATTTACCAGAAGCCTGGATGTACAGCCTGTAAAAATCTGGTTTTAATTTTGCAAAACGGAATCAGGAAAAAGGATCTGGAACCAGCCTGGATGATCTGTCTCTGCCAATGCTTTTTTGCTGGGCAAAAATCAGAGTGAAGTGGAAGTGTGGGATGCCAAAGAGATGCAGTTGCTGTGCTGCCCATCACAGAGGGGAGCTGAACACACAGCCCCTCTCCACGGGAAAAGCCCTGTCAGCTTTGAGCTCTAACTTACGCAATGGACTGAAGAAGCTTCCTAAAGGCAGTGACCTTGCTCTTGCACTTCTGTTGCCCTCTGCCATATAAACGGATGCTTGCACTAAACAGAACTGCTGGGAGGCATTTGTTATAGCTAAAAAGAGACAGGACCACAGTGATGTCACCTGGATGAACGAAGGACACAATAGGGCAGCTGTGACACTAGCACAGGTGTCCTGGTGCACTTCCATCTGAGGACCAGCAGATGGACTCGGGCATTATTTCTTCATGACAAGTGTTGAAATTGAGAATGTGAGCCAGGACAGACACATGACCTGGCTTGTGGTGGGCACTGCCCAAACGCCCATAGGATGGCAGACCAAAGGCATCAGGACATTTGCCAGGTCTGCTGATGCCCACACATCCTGCTGGCGGTCACTGCCCCACACTCTCCTTGAGCTCTGCCATCTGATGCCTTTGTGTGGCCACCTCTGGGCTTTGTGCTGTGCCTCATCTCAGGCTTTCAGGAGCAGGAACCAACAAGGGTTTCTGAGTAGCAACCAGCACAAAGGATAAAGATACAAATTATACTGGTATTCAGCAACAGCTGATATGTTTTCATCCCTCTATTACCACCAGGTACATGGAGGACAACTTTAGGGCATCTTGCCCAATTCTTCCTGCTTAGATCCAAGGCAGAAGGCATAGTCCAATTGTAGAAGGAATTATACTCCTGTTTGATAATACTGGGTTAAACTCACAATGAGGAGAGTCCTCTGGCAACTGTCTTGAGAGGGCTCAGTTGGTACAACAGGAAAAGTTCCTAAAATTCAACACTTAACTAGCTGATTCTGAATGTCACTGCTATACCAGGAAGAGATGCTTAAATACATGTTAACTGTGCAAATAACTGGAGTGAATTAATAACTTATTGATCTTGTGTGCTGTCTGGATGTTCTTCCTTTAGTGAACATTGTCACCTCCATGGACCTTAGGGTCTCATGAAACACAATGCATTCCTCACTCACATCAGTGCAGTCAAGCAGCTTACTTCAAACTACCTCAGAAGATGGTGAGAGACAGTTATTTTCAGTTAAAAATCACGGTGAAGGTTGAAGTCACTGTAAATTCCTTTCAGCTGAGGGAGCTGCGGTGGGTTCTGATGAAATATGGAGGTGAAATATGGAGGCCTGAGAAAGGATATCTAACCATGACCTTAATCTAACCTGACTAGCTGGACCCCATGACTGCCAAATTAGACTTGGCAGCTTGAGGTTCCTGTCACAGGGAACAAATACCCTGTTTATCCTGATGCTCTGGAGGCATGCAATTATCAAGCTAGATCTTAGCAGTCTTTGAGGAGCAAGCTGGCTTCCCTTCCCATTTATCTTCATGGGCGTGAATGTTATTTGAGTCAGTATTTGACAGAAAGCATAAAGATTACCTAAAACTGGTTGGAACAGTTGGTTTGCCTAAGTTCATGATTATGCTTTTTATAATATTGATCTGCCCTTTGCACAAAGTCCAAACATCTACAAAGTCTTTCTTACCTGCTCCTTTGCAGGCACTGTGAATTTTCTTGGCATCTTGCTCTGTGTCAGAGCCGTGGTGGTGGCGCTTGTGGGCTGACTGGGAAGACAGAGACACAGCAGACATGTGGGAAACAATTAGAAAGACAGCAGTTTGGGCCAGGTCCTTGCTTGGTCTTTGTTCACGCCATCTAAACCTTGAAGTTCAGGCTGGGCTTTGCTGAAATACTGTATCTATCCCTAGGGTTCCTGGAATGGATCCACAGTGGTCTATACAACTTTGTCACCAGATATATATATATATATGTATGTGTATGTCACCCTACATAACATGTCACCATAAGATATACATGACCTATAGAACTTTGTTCTGCCAGTTCTGGCTTATTCAAAGAATTTAAGGATAATTTCATACTAGAGATCTTCATGCCAGATCAAATATTATTGGTTTTTACCACTTTAGCAACAGGCCAATACAAACACCTTAGCAGAAGCAGGACCTATCTCTGTAGTACATTTTTAAGTGAACACTCCCAATCATCTGAATAAAAAATGTTCCTGAAAACCTTTCTTGTATTGATGCATTTGTGCTAACAAGATAATTGGAGATACATAATGTGATAAAGCTGGGGGTTTTTGTTGTTGCTGATGAGGTTATTTTGCCTTTTTTTTTTTTTTTTTTTTTTGGCAAAATAATACATGTGGCTACCTTGAGCTAAATTTACAAGGACAGGATAATAACTCAAAGTCCATGGCGACTGCAGCAGTTTACTGCCTGACATATCAATGTAAACAGAAAACCATGCCTGCTCCTTCTGATCTGAGTTAGCTGTTAATCTCCCAAGCTGTGAGTCACAGGGGCTGCAATGCTGGTACACCCTTCACTCTGCTGTTTCTCAGAAAAGGGTAGAATTATTTGAGACCACAATGACAGCAACAATTTCAGCTCCTCTAACATGATTACTCAAATATTTTAAATGTGCAAACTCTAAAACAGTAGTAGAAAATAGGTTCTTAAGTCAAGAAGCACAAGTCAAGCAGCACAAGTCAGTACGCACACCACAGACTCGGGGTCTGAGTGGGCACTGGCAGTGCTTTGGCATTTCCATTTAAACAGCAACATGTGGATCAGGCTGCTTGCTCTGCAGGGCTTCCAGGCACTGGCACCACCACTGTTAATTAAGAGTTATGATACTGCAGGGCTTGGCAGTCTGCTTTTAAGTCCTTCTGAAAATGCCACCAGCCTGCTGAGGAGCAGAAGAGGTTAAATGGCTGATTAACCTCCTTGTCTCTGGGGGTAGCACAGGGCAGAGACCATTCCTGAAAGACATTTGGCAGAACATCATTCTGCTTGTGGAATAAAGATAATTTAGGCACATGGCTGTGGGCCATGCTCTGCCACATGCCCATCAGGCCAGAGAACAAGAAGTTTTATTTACAAGCATAGATACAGTCTGAAAGTCTGTTTGTTGGCATGCTTCAAAAGTTTCAGGCTGTCATTTACTAGTTCTGGTGAAAGAACTACAACTCTGGCTAAAGGGGTCCTCAGTCAAAAGGCAAGGGGTCAGTTCTCAAGGAGGAAAGCTCAAATCCAGTCCCTACACTGCTTTGCCAATGTGCCTTTGTGATTGACTGAAGCCATTTAGGTACCTGGCTTTTCTAATGCAGTTACCAGATAGGATAGAACCTACTGCTGATGGTAGCTGAAATGCACAGTTATTTTTACAACTATAACAATTAGTAAGGTACGATAACAATCTCTACAGCACAAGGTAACACTTTGATTGCCCCATCATTATGACAAATGTGGCTTTTAAAGATGTTCCACACAAATTTTCCTAAACCTTTCAAACAAGATGGAAATAGTTGCATATACATAACTAATATTTTCTAGTGGAGATTTTATTTAACAGTCTCCAAATTTCCCAACAGTTTGGCTCAAAATGGAAAGGGAAAAACACAGAGTTAGAACACAGATGCACTGATAACTACTCAAAAAGAATTCCATTCACAGTTTTCTATTATGGAAGAGTGCAGGTGCTTCTCCTTCAATGGCATCATGTACAAAGGAAATGGACTGACAGGCTGAGAGAGCTGGGGCTGTTCAGCATGGAGAAGAGAAGGCTCCAGGGAAATACCATTACTTTGGCTCTGTACTGTTAGTATGCTTATGGTAGGTCTTGCAATCTGTGTTAGGCAGCCAGTACTGAAGTTGTTCTAGAGTTGTTTGCAAAGCAAACCAAAAGGACCAAAGAAGCAGCTGAAAAAACAGAGAAAAGGAAAATCCTGTAGCACAAAATACAGAGAAAAGTGCTA